GTACAAAATTACTAAAAATACTCAGGCAGTGTGGGTAAAGTAAATATGAAACACAAGTGAGTGTTGTGTTTAGATGAGGGACCCATCCCCTAGATATCTTTATATGTATGCAAATATTCCAACCCCCCCCCCCAAAAAAAATTCTGGAATTCAGAACACTTCTAGTCCCAGCCATTTCCGATATGGGCTTGCACTTGCCTTGTTTGTGTACGTGCTTGCCATTTGGTCTAAAAGAAGGTATGATGTTAATGTGTTTATTGTGTTAGAGAGTCTTACCAACCAGTATGTGCTATGTTAGTTCTGTCTGACACCTGTGTTCACCTACATGCTATTTTTAAAAGTTGTAATTACCTCTACAGTATGAAAATAAAAATATGTACCTATTAAAAACTCCCAAAAACTAAACATTAGTTCCAGTCCTAACACTAAACTTAAAATTTGATATTGAGGAAAAATTTATATTTTAAAGTGTACCTCATTTTGAAAACTAAGTTTATTGGGGTTTTTTTTGTTGTTGTTGTTTTGAGACAGAGTCTCACTTTGTCACCCTCAGTAGAGTGCCATGGCGTCATAGCTCACAGCAGTCTCAAACTCCTGGGCTTAAGTGATTCTCTTATCTCAGTTTCCCAAGTAGCTGGGACTATAGGTGCCCACCACAATGCCCGGCTATTTTTTAGAAACAGGGTCTCACACTTGCTCAGGCTGGTCTCTATCCTGTGAGCTCAGGCAACCCACCAGCCTCAGTCTCCCAGAGAGCTAGGATCACAGGGATGAGGCACTGCACCTGGCAGTTTACTGTTTTTAATAGAGATTTTAATGAAAGTTGCCTTGTATTTTGGAATCTTTTCAGTACTTGGATCAGTGAAAAGTTAATGCAAAGAACAGAGTATAGCTACATAGCCTCCCTTTAGCTTTATTTTCATCTTCTTGAAAATCCTTCTTCAAGTAGGCTGCCATATTGCTTCATATTTTATTAAAATTTTTTTTTTAATTATTTATTTATTTATTTTTTGAGTTAGAGTCTCGCTTTGTCACCTATGGTAGAGTGCTGTGGCTTCTTCGCTCACAGACTCTTGGGCTCAAGGAATCCTCTTGCTCACCCTCCTGAGTAGCTGGGACTATAAGCTCTTGCCACAACGCCATCTGTTTTTTAGAGATGGGGTTGCTCTTGCTCAGGCTGGTCTTTTTTT